AGCAAACGAGGCCCGAGCCTTGCAGATTCGTGCATTCACCTCATCTGTCACACTACAATCAGAACTAATACAACTTCCAAGATACGTAAAACGCTCCACAACTTCCAGTGCCTCTCCCTGGATTGTAAGTAGCGTGTTCAGTGACTGCATGTCCGCAAGCATGACCTTACACTTTTTGGGTGCAAAGTGCATACCAAAAGACGGGATAACTTTGGTCAGTTCATCCAGAAACAACTGCACCTTTTCCTCCTGCAGGTTATCACTTCAGATCGTTCCAGTTTGGTTGCCTTTTGTTTGCTGCTGATGCCGACATTTTGTGCGCCAGTATTCCACTACAATCAGGCTTCCGCAATGATGAACCAAGTGCCAGTCCTCAACCAATTGATATGAGTGATCGATCAGCTGATGTCAAGGTCACACTCCGCCGGACAGAAGACATGACACTGGAACACTACTCATGAGCGAGATATTGCATTCGCTATATATTGGACTCAGTATGATTTCTCGCCATACTAAAATGTGTGGTATGACCCTCGCACGATTGCAAAGGTCTGGAGATATCCAGCGATAGACTCGTTTCAGGCCGGATGACTGGAAGCTGAAAGACGTTAGTTAGAAATAACCGTACTGGCAGTGCGAGGACCAGACAGCTGTGTGTTGTATAACCTACACGTGACAATCAGCCTGAGTGATAAAATAGGGGAGTCAAAGTGTGACGGTATTCGTCTTTTCATGAACATCCTTATGGTTATCGATAGACTGGCATTTGGAAAGGCTACACACAGGAGAAACAAGACAAAATGCCGCTTGTAGCTCCAGTTCTTCTAATTCACTTTTCCGTCAACACGGAGCACGCTTGAACTAGAATACACGAAGAAACAAGGAATGGATTACTGATTAACGGTACTGTTATGTCTAGGAGATGGGATAAAACCGGATGGGGTATTCTTGTTGGCAACGGGCAAAAAACCCGGACAGTTTACGAGAAAAAAAGATAGATTCTAGGATCGCTGACATACCACAACAAGTGCCCCGGCTAGGCTGTTTGTAAACACAGCATGCATCGCTGAAATGCACGTCGTTCGCGCGAGAGTTCGGAGAAGAATGGCCAGACGACGTATGATGGAGTTCATGTACGGGATCAAGAGATCGCAGGTTCTGGGATCTGCAAATTAGATGATAAGAAAGGCCAACGTCAGAATCGTATTTGTTTCGAAGGTATACCAATTCAACAGATGATGTCAAGAACTGGCAACTGCGGTGCGGACTATCAAATATGAGCATGATACGCGCGAAGAAGACACAAAGTAACAGAAGTAACAGCTTCCTTAAACACGAAATCCTAGACATCTGGCCTAATGATATTCACAAGCGGCTGAATCCATGTTGTATCTTGGTGGAGGGTAGTGCAAATCGGCATCGGTCCCTTGGCTTCCTGTTCCGCCCACTATGATATATCAGAAGGAACAGTAGCTCTACACAGCCCATTAGGAGGCAATGGAAAATTACTACAACTGTATTTATAGGGTAGTCGCAGAGTGTTCCATAAGGTCGTGCCAGAATCTCCGTGACGGGGCGAGGGGCGTCGAGTCAGAGGCTCGATCCGGATTGGCTGGTATTCTGACCAATCAGAGCACGGGAAATCGATCACAAAGAAGGATAAAACAACTTTACTAACCCACGACTATCGTCTCCAGATCGACCAAGGCACCCAAAATGACACTGCTGAGCACACGAGTGTCGTCCTGATCGTCACCACTGTGCGCCTTGGATTGTTCCGGCGGGTCCGGATAATCTGTCAGTTCCAGTTGGCCGATCAAAGAACCAAGCGCACAGTCTAGTTTCTTGGAAGCGGCCAATTTGGTCATTTCGGTGGTGCCGACTCCATCACGGTCCCGCAACAACGGGATGAGAATTCCAAGGGCCGCGGGAGACACATGCGCCGGAGGTGGACTTGGAATCCGACGAGAGCTGAACAAAAGAGTAGTATGGGCAGATGAACCCTCATGACTAGGAACACACCGCCCTCTGATCGAATAATTTACCGAAAAAGACTGTCCAATGCTGGCTTGAGTGAACATCTCTAATCAAGGAATGACTTCTTATTGGATTACATTACATGAGACGATGATGGGAAGTAGGGCTATAGGAGAGTGGAAACCTCGAAAGAGGACGCGGCGTTTGGTTATGTCCTTCGTGACCGGAAGTGAAGCCTGAATAGGATACAATAACTAATTATTAGTTTCAGAGGGGTTTGGTAAACAATCGGTGGATTTGGTGCTGGGCAACGTTTCGCTTTTGACACAAAAGCTTCGTCAGGCCAAGTGAGTAAGTAAGTAGGTTGATAGGGTTTTAAGGCAGTCAGGAAAGCAATCCGTGAGATTCCTTATGACTAGTGACTTGGTCAGTGCTGGGTGTTCGGTCTGATGCTCCTGTTGGTTAATTAGTGCGGATGACTAGGATTTACGATAGACTGGTTAGGGGTGGGTGTTCGTCTTTATGATGAACCCGGATTTTTTCGTCCTTGCTTCTTCAGTCTAGGACACCTTAATGGAGAATTCCTCTTGGGGTCGTTCACAGATTTCCTTCACCTGTGTTCGTCCAAGGGTGCCGGGACAATTGGTTAGGGGATCAGGGTGGGGTGGTTAATTGGATCTAACTCTAGTTGGATTTTGCACTGTTAGACCCAAACCATTTCGCTGATAACTGCACACCGCCTCGTGTCATCTCGGGTGATCTAAGACCGCTCTCCACACGTTTACAAGTTCCACCCACCTCTATTCTATTCACACTGGGATGCTTGGCGATTTCCATCGCCTCGGCCCTCTGAAACGATGACTTCCCAATCGGTTCCAAACATTTTCCAATTTATTGAAAACTAATAATCAGCTTATCAATCACCCATGGTGATCCGATGGAAAGTTGTCCTTGCGCAGACAAGTGGTTAACTGAGACGGCAGTCATGTTACGAAAACCCAATTGCAAAGGACAAACTAACAGTACAGGCAATGCTCGGACCCACAGCTGAGTGGGGAAAAGGTCAGTGACCAAACTCAACGGATTGGAGTAGTGAGACATATCACCTGAGTGATGTCAATCCCCAGCTGGACGAGGGATTTACCACGGACGACGTTGTTTACCTACCCAAGTCTGCTTATTGGCAAAATGTATCCCTTAACCTCGACCGAACAAAACCGAAATTAAAAATCGAACTATTCCGAGTTGCAGAAGAAACTTGGTGCAGTACACAGAAGTAAAAGGTTGTGTTTGTCAACCGGTGGAATGTTGATAGCTCAGGTTGCGTCACTGAGAAGGCACTCACCAGGTTTTTTTGACGCTGTCCGGAGGTATCGCCTCAGACTCCAGCAATGCCGTATTCATCCCTACAAACGGTGCATCAGTTGTACACGGTGGAATCATTTCGATCGTGCCCACTTGAACTTTCAAGTGTTGCTCGAGAAGTTTCTTGTCGTTTGGTTGTAGCTACAAGTGAAAGACAATTCAAGGTAAGATAGAAGATTGCCGCCTTCAACTATGAACCAAGACGTACCTGCATCACCTCCTGCATAAACTAGCGCGGAAAAGGGGAAGTAACCTCTTGGACCCAAACAAGCGGGATTTTGGTCCATATCACATTTCAACAATGCTCGGTTTTTAAGGGCTGGTTTTGCTTCAGTCATTGGTGGAATGAATTCATGGACCGAATGATATCAATTCGACAGAAGGCACGAAGGTGACTAGCAACCTATCACAGATAGGCGCAATATGGGTCGGCGATGTGAGTGACATGAGCTTTTTCGTGATTAGAGCGCGAATTTACTGACCGGAAGGTCCGTGGTTCGAACCCTGCCTCTCGACTTTCCCTGTCTAGGCTTGGGCAACCTGGCAGTATCAAAGTCTTCGTGTTTCCCTCGGATGGCATGACACCTAGGCACCGGAAGGGTCTTACAGCTGAACGATTGCTCCAACCTGTACTGTAGACTGATTCGTTCCAGCAGTAATGGTAGAAAAATGTGGGTACAACCTTGAGTTTTGCCTTTCAAACAATCACAACTTTTAAACTTAAAGTACGATGATGGCTAAACAATGGGTCTTTTCCTGGCCCCAAAATTGCAGTCTATCCCCAATCGTGGTTTAGACCAGGGGTCATCAAGCTATTTTAAAGAGTTCAGCTGGTCTCTTCCCACGGATCCGTATTGAACACAAAAGAATTTCTGCAGACAATGGAGTTATACACATATCCGTCAATTGACTTAGTGCCGACACGATATTCGATAGATTCTCGATCGCCTCTCTTGTTCATGGTTAGTTCCAGTAGGTATGAGCATCTAACTCAGCTCCTATTCGAATGTCTGACAGAGCGGTGGAGCTGGATACAACTTAGATGCTTGTTGTAGGCTCTCCCTAGGTCATCCACCTTGCGGGATTTATTCGTTCTTTCCATTCAAATAAATTGGGACGATTTTACAGTAATGAAGCCCTAGTGTTTTTCGCTGCTGTTCTAATAAGTGATGATAATGAACTTTCTACTCTCTTTTCCTCGACGGGGTAACCGAAAGTGGTACTTGTTTTTTGTTATATCTCGCTGCTGTCCCCGCTCCAGTGCCCACTGCCAGAAAAAGACTCACCGATAAGGGACACAACAGCTTTATTGCGAGCAAGCTAATGCGAATACACAACGGCAACTGTCTGATCTTGGTCCAACGATGTCTTGCGCTGTCTGGTTTTGATACAAGGCTGTCACGCACTGCATACTGGATGGGCGTTGTCTGTCTAGTAAACATCTAGTGGAGTTGAGGGTCTCAATAGATTTCGGGCGTTCAGTGGTTACTTTCAGGAAGCTGACCTTCGTGATATTTTTACCGGACTATTTTTACTCAAGTCGGTCGAGCAAACGTAGAACATCAATCTGTAAAAATGACATCGAGATACCTAAACCCCATCAGAAGCTAAACAGCTTTACCCAGTCTATGCTACCTTTTGCCCGACTAACCGAAAGCAAAGCTTCTAATTGGGAGGATTTATGCAATCTGTTGAAAGCTAGCTGTCATGTCTACCCTCCTCCTGGTGGAAAAACTTTTTAGCGTGGACAGTCATTCTGAGAAAATCCAACTCCTGACCCACACAGTTATTAAATTCTCATCATCCCTAGCTCGGGTGGGATATATTCGGGCCTAGCTGCCATGCTAACCGAAGGAAGCATGAGGGGTCAGATACTGCCAGGTTGCCCAAGCCTAAACAGAGGAAGTTGAAAGGCAGGGGTCGGGTTCGAACCACGGACCTTCCGGTTGGCAAATTCACACTCTACTCTAACCACCATCTCGTTCGTTTCGCCTAGAGCGATGGAGCATACCGTTGGGCGCGAACGTGCCAAATACCGAGGGGATCGAAGGTGGCGTGATAACCGTTGAAAAATCAGGTTAAGAACCACCGTATTGGATAATACCGAGTTCCTGTAAAGAAAGTAATTTAGCCGATCAACATGAAGTATCGGGAGGTTTGACATCTTTGAGTCTTTGATAGAAAACAGGACGAAAGTAAGTGAAGATGAACAAGGAACAAACGGTGAACGAGACCACTTACTGGACCAATTTGTTCCCATAAGTTATTCCCAAGCAGTCCATGAACCAGAAGCAAGAAGTCCAGAGCAGCACGACGAACGCCCGGATTGGAATTGGCAATTTGCTGTGCCACCAGCTTGGATGTGAAACCCAAGTTTCCAATTGACTTTTGAACGTCTCCGTAACGGGGAACGAGACTCGTGAGTTCCTGCAAACAGTCTTCGAAGAAAGCAAACATGATGAAGTGTAAGGAGAGTGTAGAACAAGTGGAAGATACGGAGCAACGGGCTGGTGCGGTAGGTCATGTGATATGGACGACAGAGATATGAAAAAGTGACACAAAGAAAGTGTCTGGTTCGAATTCTTAATGAGTAGGGAAACCATCAGCGCGTGTGTGACGACAACTGGCAAGTATAACGGAGGATTGGAGACGACATCCACTCACTTTGTCGTTCGGAAACACTGCTACACTTATGTAAAAGTGCAGCAATATGATCCATTAACAAGCTGGCTGGATGGACCTGGCGAAGCAGTCGAATTAGATCAGAGATGGCATTGCTGAGCTGTGATTCGATGGATCGATGTAGGCGAGTGCACCGAAGACTGGGAGACTGTTCGGATAGTAGTGCGTGCAGCAGCAGACTAGCCTCTTGGTTACTCAGTTTGAAGTTGGCTTGAGCAAACCGCACGATGGCAGCAGTAAGGTAATGCAAACCTGAAACAACACGGGTTTCGAAACGTCGCGTCAGACGGGTAAGGTCTTATACTGTTTGAGGCGTACGCAGGTACGAGAGTAAATTGAAGCCAAGCCGAGCCAAGGTGAACTTTCAATAGGCAAAGGCACAACCATACTATCAATGAATGCATTACATAAATAGACGAGACGCGTGGGTATTGAACCGGGTAGTGAGATCAACGGGAAGATTCTGATCACTAGTGTTTACTACTTGCGTATTGCTGCCGACGATGAAGAAAATGGGTAGAAAACGAGCGAATGTGTAAGGTCAGTATGGCTCTAGCAAAAAAAACGTGAATAGGGCGGGAAACGCGTCTCGGTGAAATTGGAACAAGTGAATCAAAATGCCTGCATAGTGCAAAGTCAAACAGTGAGTACCGGTGGTCTCGTAAAAGATGATATTTCCATCCGTACTGGGAAGGCCAGAGCAGCTTTTGCGAACCTACGTCACCTGTGGCGTAGGCGTGACATCAGCTTCTATGTCAAGGGTCGGGGTTACAATGCTGCGGTGCGCTGCATATTACTATATGGATCAGAAACCTGGCCGCCGCGTGCCGAGGACGTCAAAAGACTTTCTGTGTTTGACCATCGATGTCTTCGGAGCATTGACCTAATCTGGATCAGCAATGCTGAAGTACGTCGAATGGTATTCGGGAGAAATAACTCACCTTCGATAGATGAACTGATCACACTGCATAAGTTGCGCTGGCTTGGCCATGTGCTGCGTATGCCAGTCGACAGACTTCCTCGAAGGGTTCCTTTCGCACAACCACGTGAAGGTTGGAAGAGAGCCAGAGGCGGTCAAACGGTAACTTGGCAGCGAAGTGTGAAAGCCATTACCAGCAAACTCAGCTGCACTTTTCACTGCCGTCTTCCTGGATGGGGACCCCGAGACGGCCACATCAATGGTTAGAGACATTGTCAGATATGGCCCAGTCGCGCCCTCAATGGCACCCGTGCACCCCAGCCAT